ATCATCATCTTCTTGCGTGTGCTTGATCGAACATCATCGTCGAAGCGGTGGTGGTCGTCGCCGTCTAGAACTTGAACTCCTTGTACTTCTTCTTGTCCTTGGCGTCCTTCTTGGCCTTCTTCTTGGTGTGTTCGGCCAGGAGGTCGCTCATGTCCTCCCGCTCGGGCTGGCCGGCGGCCTTGACCGTGGCCTCGTACTTCTCCTTGAGCATGTCGTCGGTGAGGTTCTCGAGCTCGGCCGGGTTGAGCGTGATGGCCACCTCCTTCGTCTTCTGGCTCTTGATCAGGTTGACGGCCTCGCCCTTGGCCGGCTTGCCAGCCGCGGCCTTGTCTTCGCTGCCGATCACGTACGTGTGCGCCGAGCCGAACGCGGCGTTGCCGACCTTGGTCTCGCGCTGCTGCAGCACCTGGAAGAGCGGACGCGCCTCCTCGGGCTGCCCGCCGACGTCCTTCTTCCTGAGCACGAGGTGGTCGGGCGTGGCGATGCCGGTCGGTGTGACGAGGCCGCCGTGGTCGGGCACGCCGGGCAGAGGCGCGGCGGGCGCGGCGGCCTCCTCGCCCTCCTCTTCCTCCTCTTCGCCTTCGCCCTCCTCCTCCGACTCTTCCTCCTCCTCGCTCTCGTACTCCTCTTCCTCGAGCTCGCCCCAGTGCTTGCGGTCGATCGGGGCCGCCGACTCGCCGGACATGCCGCCCACGAGGCCGAACACGTCGCCATACAGGGGCTTGCCCTCGCGATCGACGGGCGGCTTGCCCCAGCCGCCGGGGTGGTAGCCGAACGAGGCGCCGGCGGGGATGGGCGCGTTGAGGCCGGGGACCTTGAGATTGGGGTAGGAGGGCGGCGGGCCGTAGCGCTGCATGTTGATGAGCCAGGGCGGCGGGGCGCCGTCGGGCATGCCGAGGGCCTCCTTGAGGTCCTGGGAGAGCATGCCGGGCCGCTTCTCCTTGAGCCGCACCTCGAACTCCTTGCCCTCGTAGTAGGTGTCGCCGTGCTGGGTGAGCTTGGGCTTGGTCTGGTGGCGGAAGAAGGCGTCGTGTAGGACCTGGTAGTCGATGTCGAGCTTGCCCATCTTGGGCTGCATGCGCTCGCGCTGCTTCTGCTTGAGCTTCTTCTTATCGTCTTCCTCCTGGAGGGCCTGCCGAATGCGCGAGATGCCCGTCGCGGCGATGAATTCGGGAAGCTCGAATGGCGGCTTGGCGATGCCTCGCTTGCCCTGGAGGTACTTTCGCTTCTGGCACCAGTGTCGCGGCACGGGCACCGAGTTTCGATACGATTTGAGCGTAACGAGTAGCGCGGGATCGCTCGCCGTGACGTCCCACACCTCCACCACCTCGGGCCGCGTGACGAGCTGCTTGAGCACGGCCACCGACAGCCGCTTCTGCTTCTTCCTCTCCCTCTTCGAGATCGTCGATTCGGGGTCCTCGTCATTCTCGGCCTTGATGGCATCATCCTCATCGTCGCTGCCGCCGCCAGCCTCCTTCTTAAGTCGCTTCTTCTCGGCTTCCTCCTCCTCTTCCTTCTTCTGCTTCTCGAGCTGTTCGCGTTCCTCCTTGCTCATGCAGAGCTCCTCGGGGGCTGCAAATTTGGCAAAGATGTTCGAGAACGCGGCGAAGGCGGCCATGTCTTCGGCATCCTGAGGCGCGTACGAAACGTACTCGACATCCCCTTCCTCCATCGAGTCGTTCGTCTTCGCATCGTCAGGCTCTTCAAATTTTACGGGCACCAGGCGAGGCTGCTTGGTCTTCTTCTTCTTCTTTTTCTTCACGGTCCTCTTCCTCTTCTTCCCGTTCTTCTCTGCGGGCAGTGGCAAGGCGCTGACGTTCTCCTTTCCATTCACACCTAGCCCATCAGCGGGGGCGAGTGTTGTCATCTCGGTATCGATTCTATTCAATTCGATCCGTCAGAAGAAATACTTTATTCACGCTTTTTCCCCAAGTTATTGTGGCCCTTGGAAAAATCAGGACTTCTTCCTTTTCTTTCAATTTCTTTTTATTTACTTCGTTCTTTCGGGTTCTGTTTCGTTTTCGTTTTCGTTCTTTTTGTTGTTGGTTGCTCCGTCCGACGGAGACCAGCACAGTCGACCACATCCACAACGCAGTTCCCAGGCAGAAGAAAAGAGTGAAGACAACCCTCCCACCAAGCTAGATCAAAGATTGTAAAAAATATTGTACAAAACATAGAAAGAGATGGCAACCACAAGTCCCTATGGTGGCCTCAGCAAGCGGCCTAACTCGCCCGGCCCAGGCTCGCCCACGCTCAGCCACCGCGGGGGCGGCAACGCCAGGGGGCGGGGTCCACTCCCTACGCCCCCCTCGCAGCAGGGGCAAAGGGCAACACGTGGACCGCGGCGCCCACCGCCTGGAGTCGACGAGGCCCGACCGGGGCGCCATCCAACACCACGACTACCACCGGCAGCTCGACGAGTCCATCAACTGCGGCGACCACCTACCCGGCCTACACGTACCCGAGTAGCGGGGCCGGCCTGAACTCGACCCCGTCCAAGATTAGCTCCCTCACGGCCAAGTTCGAGTCGTCGACCTCTACGCGGCCCACTTCCCCATCTCCCACTCCCTCTCACTCCTCTCCCTCTCCATCTTTGCCATCTTCAAAGACGCCAACGCCAACGACAACGACGAACCCCGTGACGTCGTACCGCGCAGGCGGTGGACCCACGTCGGTGCGAAGTCAGCTCATTAACAGCGGCGGCGGAGGCGGCGGTGGCGCGAGCCGAGCAGCCGGGAAGCCGTCGGGGTGGAAGAACCTGCCGCCGCCTCCCGCCGCTCCCACCGCTGACGAGGTCGTCGACGCCGTGCCCGACGCCGGCTCGCAGCCCGACCACGCCGTCGACGCCGAGCCTCAGCAGCAGCAGGTGGTGGCGGTGGTGGAGCAGCCGCAGGAGGAGGTGACGTGCTCGCTCTGCGACCAGGTGTTCGTCTACCCGATCAACACGGCGTGCCCGATGTGCGGCGAGGCCTACGGCGCGCCGGCGGACGACGCAGCCGCGAGCGGCCAGGCCCAGTCCCTGAACGAGGAGGGTCCGCGGCAGGTGGAGTGCTCGCTGTGCGATCACCCCTACGAGTACCCCACGCTGCGGGAGTGCCCCATGTGCGGCGAGGCCTACGGCGCACCCGCCGACGAGCCGTCGACCACTTCCAACGCTGCCGCCGCCGCAGCGCCCGGTTCGATCACGGCCATGTTGATGCAGCTGCAGCAGAGCGTGCAGGCCCAGCAGGACGAGCAGCAGCAGGCCGACAATGCGCGCCTGGAGCAGCTGCGGCTTGAGGAGGAGCACGACAAGCGCCCGAAGAGCATCGAGGAGGAGTCCAAGCGGATGGTGATGTGCGGCCACTGCGGCCACACCTACGAGTACCCGACCTACAACTTCTGCGACAACTGCGGCCACCCGTCGTCCAACGCTTCGCTCCGGCTGTCGCAGATCAAGCGTCAGACCTGGGCGCAGGGCGGCCGACAGTCGATGCAGATCGGCGCGGGCGCGATCGAGCAGATGCTGGCCGCGGCGGCGGCCAATGGCGGGAGCGGGGGTGGTGGCGACGGCCAGGAGCTGCCGGGGATGATCAACTTCTGTCCCGACTGCGGCACGTCGACCGACGGCGGCAGCCAGCGCTTCTGCGGCATGTGCGGCAAGTCGTTCCGGGGCGACGAGCCGGCCCTGCCTGAGTTGGACGTACCCACCAGCCCCACGTCGGGCCGTCACGAGACCGGCGAGCGAGACAAGCTCAAGAAGGTGCGTGCGTGTCGTGCGTGTCGTGCGTCGTGTGCGTGTGCGGTAGTGCGTGTCTGACCTGGAACGCAGAAAAACAAGAGCTGGGGCAAGAAGACATCGTACCGGACGTACTTCACGGAGGTGAGCTCGTCGCCGATAACGTCGCGCGTCAAGAAATTCTCCAAGCGCGGTCGGGACGACAAGAGCTCCCGCACGATCGAGGTCAAGAGCGATTGGTGCGCATAATGGCTTATCTCCATCAGCACCATCATCTTCACCACCACCACCATCATTTTACTCAGTGCGGAATGCTAACCGCTCACTTCCTCTCCTTCATCTCGCCTTCGACCGACATCAGGCAGCACATGGTCGCCGCCTCGCTGCCCTCGACGCCGGACGCCATCTCCGCCTACAAGCAAATGGTACGCTACGCCACACCACCATCTCGATGTGACGAGACGTGTCTTCTTCACCTCACGGTCTCATCGCAACCACAACGACTGCAGATGATCGCCAAGTACGAGGCCCAGCAGAAGGAGAACGTCTTCATTCGCAGCACCTCGCGCCGCGGTTCGGCCGAGTTTCGTAGCCTGGACGCCGCCGCGATGGGCGCCTACCGACAGGTGACCCCGCACACGCACGAACGCACACGCACCGCACACGTGCACACGCATTCCAGCGAGCTCTGTGGTCCTGACGAGTCGTGATCGGTGGTAGGACGCGAGCGAGGATGGTTCCCTGTCGCCGCGGGGAGGGTACCAGCAGGCGCCGCTGTCGCCGCGGTCGCCGCGGGTGGGCGGAGGCTCCCCGTACGCGCACACGTCGACCTCCTTCCGAGCCCACGCCTCGTCGCCCAACCTGATCTCTTCCCCGTCCGCCTCCTACCGCATTGGTGCGTTGCGAATTGTATATTTATTATTATTTTTTATCATTTTATCATTTTATTTTATCATTATTTTAATCTCTCTGTGATTGTTGATATATTTATTTATTTTTGTTTTTCGTGTCTGCAGCGGTGGGCCACCAGGAGATCGACCAGCAGATCGGAGCGGTGTTGGCCGAGCTCAACCTGGCGAAGTACGGGACGGCGTTCGCCCAGGAGGAGGTGACCTACGACGCCTTCCTCCTGCTCGAGGCCGATGACCTCACGCAGATGGGCATCCCCATCGGCCCGCGCAAGCTCATCCTCGCCAAAATCCTCGAGCTCAAGCAGTAGAGGCCAGGCCAGGCCAAGCCAAGCCAAGCCAACCTCTGTTGAATGAGACTCCTCCGTATACTATACTTAACTACACTATTGTGGCGCAATCTACATCCTGTAATTACATCAACATATGCTATGCTTCTTCCATGAAGTACCAACAAGTGTTGCAACACCAAGCCAAATATCCTCATTTCACAATGATTGGTCGACAGTTAATTTAAAGACAAATTAATTCGAGGTGGCTTGTGTTCCCTTGGTCTGGCCCCACACCCGCACACGGCGACCACACGCGAGGAGGAACAATACCACAGCCAGAAAGAAGGAGGCGACCAAGAAGAAGACGCCCCCCACATAAAGAGAGGCCTCGCCCACACACTTCTTTACAAAGATGTTGAACAGGGGCAATAAGTTGAAGGAGGACAGCATGGAGGGCATCTGGGATGAGAAGCCTGAAAAGCTCCTCGGTGTCGGTACTGTATCCCCCCCCCACCGAGCCATCTGCCTTGTTCGTGTGGTTATCATTATTTCTTTTATTAGATTTGACCCTTTTTTTGATTTCCATTTCACAATGGAGTAGTGGAAGAGATGATCTGAAACAGATTTGATCTCTGCTTGCTGTTCTAGTTCACGTGATCTCTACGCTCCCATCGTCGACATTTGCCATTTGCTTCGATGAAGAGATGGAGAGATTTTGATGATGATGGTGACGTGATTTTAGTGGTCTCGGCCTCGCTGCCGGGAGTGAAGGAAGAGATCTACACGTGCCAGGTGACCAAGAAGCTCGCCACCAAGAAGAAGACCAAGGAATGGGAGAAGTTCATCTCCAAGGAGTCCAGCTGGCCCCAGTTCTTCTTCGCGTACGCCTCCCAGGCCTCTTACGTTTTTTTTTTTGATCTTTGAATGATAAAAATATTTATTATTTATTATTTGAATTAATTTCCTCCAATTAATATTCGGCCTCGTGTGTCTTGTGTTCCAGTGTCCCAGACAGCAGCAACCTGGAGCTCACCATCACCGACAAGAGCGGCAAAGTGGCGTACGTGGCTTCCCCTCTAGTCGTGCGTCGTGTCGTGGTGTGCGTGTCGTGTCATGATTGCTTACGCACACGCACAGGGGCACGTACGAGATCAAGGTGGACGACCTGAAGCAAGACACGGTGGTGGCGGGCGAGTACGAGCTGCAGGTGAGCGACAAGAAGAAGAAAAAGGCCGGCGAGAGTGATGACCCGCAAGGCAAGGTCGACGTCCGCGTCTACTACTCACTCCTCATGGTACGGCTCTTTGTGCGCGTGTGTGTGCGTGTGCGGTTGGTGTGTGTGTGTGTGTGTGGTGTCTTGTGCGTGCGACGAACGCAGACGCGGTCTCATACTCCACGCCTCACAGGAAACTCGTCCTCCCGGTCCCGGGCCTCACACCTACAACTACGCCGACTACCTCGGTCAAATTAAGACGGGCGACCTCGTCGTCTACTCGGGCACTGGTGCGTTAATCGCTCGATTGCGGCTGGCTGCGGCTCTTGCTCAACAATAGCGTCGTGTTGCCAGTCACTCACTCGCGCATGTGTGGTGTGTCGTGTGTGTCGTGTGTGCAGGCGTGCTTGCGGCTGCGTGCCAGCTGATCACCAACACGCCCTACAGCCACATCGGCCTTGCCGTCTATCTGCCCAACAGATGGACGCAGGAGCCGGAACTGTACATAGTAGAACTCACCAAGAACTTCAACAGGTTCGTCGCCATCGCTGGTGTGTCGTGTGTGTGTCGTGTGTGTCGTGTGTGTCGTGTGTCAAACGGATGTGTGCGGTGCGTGCGGTGTGCGGGTTGCTGATGCCGACGTCGTTTGCAGATTCCAGGACGCCTTCAAGGAGGTGGCGGAAAGCGGAATCAACATCTTCCGTTTCAAGGAGCGCGTGCACCAGTACCACGGCAACTCGCCCGTCTGGTGGGTGCCCCTCAAGGAGTCTCTCAGCCCCGTCCACCAGCAGGTGCTCGTCGAGTGGATCTGGAAGATGCACCGAGGTTCGTTATTCCCATTTCTTCGTTAATTATTTAATAATAAATAATATATTAATTTAACATTATTTTTACGGGACACCAGGCGACCAGGCGATTGAAGACAACATCCCGCCCATCTCCGTGAGTAAGATGACCGAATTCCTGACCTCGCGGTTCAAGATCACCGTCAGCTACGACGTCATGCTCGACTTCTACTCCCCCGCCTTTGTCTACAAAGCCCTCGGGTATGCACGTCATCGCACACGCACGACCGCACACACACCACCGCACACGGACACGTCTACTGACAGTTTTTATGTAATGTGCGTTCAGCCTGGCTGGTGCGTTGGAGGAGGACATGACCAAGTACTCCGAGGGACTCTTCGCCAGCGACGTGGTGAAGCTGCCCTGCTTCGGCGCTCCCGTGCAGATCCGCTACAAGGCCGACGACACTCGCGTCGCCGGCACGCAGGCTTCCTCGCTCGCCGCCGGCTTTGCCGCCGCCTCTGGTAAACCTCCCACTCATCTAGCCACATACGTGCGGCGTGTGCGACAAACTCGTAACTGCCTCCTTAACAATTGTTGGGTGTGTCGACAGCCAACAAGGACGGCGGCCGAGCCAAGTCGGGGTCGATGGACGGCCTGCCCCCGGTCACCGGCGAGCCCGCAGCGCGCCCTCGCCTCGGCACCGCCATCGGCACTCCAACCAAGCTCGGCGGTTCTGCCGCCAGTTCGTGTTCTCCTCCGACCCCACATTTCTCTACGACACGCACGACACGCGCGCACTGCATGCACACAACGCGACGTGCACCTGACAAGCGCATGCGAATGTGTGCAGGCGCGTCTCCGCCGGGCAGCCAAATCTTGCCCAACCCGGCTGCTGCAGCTGGCGGTGCCGCGGTTCCGCGGCGGCCCCAGCCCGCGGTGCCTCCGCGTGGTGCCCCGCCCTCCATCGTCCACACGGCGACCGCCGGCGGAGTGGCCGGTGGCGTGGCCGCCGCTGCCGCCAGCGTGGCTCGCAACCGCCCGCCGTCGCAGACCATCTCCTGTACGCCCCCCCCTCTTCGGCTGCTCGTGTCGTGTCGTGTCGTGACTGACGTCAGCACGACACACGACACACGGCACGATACAGCGCCGCTGTCGGCGATCACGCAGTCGCATTCGCCCTCTAACTCGTCGACGGGCGTGATGACGAAGCCCGGTCTGGGGTCGGCCAAGACCTCGTTGGCCGCCCCGCCGCCGCTGGTGGCGCCCTCGTCACTCCCTGCGTTCGCGCCCACGCCCGTCCCGGCGCCCCTCGAGAACCGCGAGAAGCGACGCGAGAAGATGATGACCCTCTCGCGCAAGTTCGGCACCTCACGCCTGGCCGTCACCAGTCTCGGCATCGAGGGCGATTTTAACTCCGACGAGAAGGCCGAGAACGCCGTACGCTTCGCTTTCGCTTTCGCTCTTCCATTCCGCACACAGACCACAGGGCCCACCTCGCTTTTCGTTTTCGTTTTCGTTCTTTTACCCCCCCCCCGAATAGATTGATGCGATCGTGGCCAAGATGAGAGGCCCCGGCGGCATTCCTATGGCGGACATCAACTGGCAGGGCAAGAACTACACCAAGTGCTTCCTGGGCTGCGACGCCGTCGATTGGATGCTCAAGTGCAAGGTGGCCACCACGCGCGACCAGGCCGTCGAGCTGGCCAACGAGATCCTCGTCACCGGCCGGCTGTACCATCTGTCCAGGAGAATGGCCTTCATCGACGGCATGGAGATCTACAGATTCGAGGCACGCTCACCATTCCGCACACGGCACACACGGCACATGATAGCTGACGCGTTGGATGGGGGTCGACCTTAGATCGACGACGTGGAGAAGACCACGAGCGACAAGATCCCGAACGTGTTCCAGTCCTCGCTGGAGAACATCATGCGCCGCCAGCGCATGGCCACCCCCGACGCTCGCGTGCCCAAGGTCATGGAGGTGCTCATCGACGCCATGATGAACCTTCGCGGTACCTCGCCCCACCCCTTGCTTCTTCGTGTGCGTGTCGTGCGTCGTATGCGTCGTGTGCGTGTCGTGTTGTTCTAATGTATGCAATTTGATGCGTAGCTACGGAGACCGAGGGCATCTTCCGAGTACCTACGTCGCTGACCGAGCTGGAGATGCTCCGAAAGCAGTTCAACTCGGGCGATTACGCCTGCGCCGCCATGAGGTCCCCTCCCCCTCCCTACGCCCTTTCACCACCCCTGGTGGCTCAGGCCCTGACTGTCGCCTCTCCGCCGATACAAATTGACCACCACCACAGGGATGCGCACCTGCCCGCGTGTCTGCTCAAGTTGTGGCTGCGAGATCTCTCCGAAGCCCTCATCCCCGACTACTACTAGTACGTCACTGGCCTCAGCTCTGCTCTGTGCTTTGTGTGGATGGCTGACGGACCACACACACACACACACAACACACAACACACAACCACAACAGCACGAACGCGCTGTACTGCGATACGGTGGAGGACAGGCAGCGGCTGCTCAAGTCACTGCCGGAGGAGAACCAGAACGTGATCGTGCGCCTGTTCGAGCTGGTCTACACCCTCTCCAAGCACTCGGCCGTCACCAAGATGGACCTCAACAACCTCGCCATGGTTCGCTTCCACGCACGCACGCACGCCCGCACGCACGCAACACTACCGCACACGCACTATCGCTAATTAGCTGGGCTGGTTGTGGTGCGTAGGTGTTCTCGCCATGCTTCCTGCGCTGCCCGGCGATGGACCCGCTGGTGGTGATGGAGAACCTGCCGCGCGAGGGCATGTTCGTGCGCGGCTCCTTCGGCGACTACTGCAAGGCCCGCGATGCGCTCGCGGCCGCCACCGCCGCGGCCGCGGCCGGTGAGCAGGAGAACAAGGAAGCCGCCGACCAGGAGGCCAGCAAGGTCGAGGCCTGAATGAAAGCCTTCTCAGAGCCCCCCCCACCAAGTCTCTACACAAATTCGTGTAGCGGCTCTTTGTCTTCTTCTTCCACTTCGAATGGAGTCGCTCTTGTCTTGTAGCACTACAACATACTACTCACCATGGCCGGTGTTACTCATTCCAAGGAGGCGAGGTGGCTGGCAATCGCCGGCTCGGCCCACGCGCGCAACTTGGTGTAGACGCCCTTCTTGGCCTCCATCACGTGCTCCACAGCAAAGTCCCAGTCCTGCCGCACGACACGACACACCACGCACACACGACACAACCACAACGCACCACGACCAAGGGAGTGTGAGGCGAGCGGTGACCACATGGGCATTTGGGCCACAATGGGAAGAAGAGTGCGGCGGTGGCCACCTTCCAGGCCAGCTCGGTGAACTCGGGGTGCTCCTCGTTGTCCAGCTTACACTTGCTGAGGTCCGCGTCCGCCCAGTAGAACAGGAACCACGTCATGCTCTGCCTGTAGGCAAAGAGTCACACTATGCGTGTGCGTCGTGTGCATGTAGTGGGTGCCCCACGCTGGTGCCGTACCCCTTGTGGGCGCCGCCGTCGATCTCGTACTTGAGCTCCTCCTTGAGCTGGTCGACGAGGTGGAGGCCGTGGTCGGGCGTGAGGCCGATCTCCTCCCATACCTCGCGCCACACGCCGGTCACCTTGCAGCCCTTGTCCGCGCTCTTGTCATACCCTCCCTGCGGACACTGCCACTGTACGACACCGCGGCGGCACACGTTGAAAACAGAATAAAAGGAACAAATTTTAGGGGGGGCGTGGTACTGTGCCGACGGCTTGCTTCTTGGCCGAGGAGCGCTTGCCCACGAGAATACGCCCAGAGCCGTCGAAGATGCATGCCCCCAGACAGGCCCTGTAACCCAACAGGCCGCGCACAAGCTCCATTTACACACTGCAAAAAAATTAATTCGCGTTTTCCGTTAAATCATTAAAAATATAGTTTTATTTTTTTCCCTTCACCTTTCGGGCGAAATGATTTATTTGCTGTCGACGTGCCAGAGAAAAAACATGACAAGGAAATACAAAAGAAAAAATTTCTTCGTTCTTCTATCTCGCACCATGCTTGACGACCTCCTGCCGCTCGTGGTTGAGGGCCTCCTTGCCTTGATTTCCTTGGGGTGCCTGGGCCTGCTTGCCATTCAGCCGTTCAAGAATCCTCCGCCCATCTCCCTTCGGTAATTGCTATCAATCTCTTTTTCTGTTCAAGCCAATGTGAGGTCTAATCATGCTGATTTCTCAATTGAACAAAAGTTATGTGGCTCTCGTGGGTCTGTTGCCGGTGGCGGTGACGGCCGGCCTGATGGCCGCCTCGCGGTACGACATGCGCTACGCCGCGGCGAGCCTCCTCACCTTCTACACCTCTGCCGTCGCCGAGACCACCGGCGCGCTGGCCCTTGCCGTCGCCCTCTACTCTGAAGTCCACCGCAACTCCAACATATCTCCCCAATGGTACCGCTTCATGCTTCATGCTTCATCTTTTCTCGTCTACTACTTGCTGACTCCCAAAAACGCTTGCGAACACACACACACACACACACAGGTATGCGCTGCCCACGGGCTCGTCGCCTCTGGCGCTGATCTCCAACTACGTGCCGTCGTCCTACATTCAGCTCGCGATCTTCACGGTGCTGGGCGCCTACCTCCTCTCCGCCGCGCGGGAGCTGCCCGACAAGGCCGACAGCCTGCGCCTGTCGGCCTTCGCCTTCCTGGGTGCGGCGGCCTCGCGGGTGGTGCTGGACCGCTTCGACTTTCTGCTCGATGCGGTCAACTCGAATCTGCTGGGCGTCGTGGGCGTGCAGCTTTCGTCCTACCTGGTCTACGAGTTCATGATGGTCGTCGCCGTGTTCTTCCTCTTCCTGCACCTCCTCAAGACCTATCAGGGCACCAGCATCAAGCTCAAGGGCAAGTAATAATTAGTAATAGCCATGGTAATCCATCTCTGCTTGCTGCCCTGGAGTTGGGTTGCCTGGGAGGCGATCTCTTCTTCACCGTGTCTTGCGCAATCAAAACGTCAAAAATAAATGAAATGAAACCAAAATAATAATAATAATAACAACAATAAAAGGATGATGTTGAAGATGTGTTGTTGGTTTGTTTCAAAAAGTACAGTGGGGGTGAGGGGAGAGTGGGATGTGGTGTGATGATTGTACAGTTGTGTGGTTCTTCTTCTTGCTCTGGCTCTCTGCAGAGTTCATCTCGTGTCGATCTTCTTCCTCCGTGTAGTACCTTACATGACCAGACACTTCTTGTTGTCGCCGCCGCCGTCTCGACCATGCGCGATCTCCTTGGAGTCGGTGACCGTGTGCCGCCTCTTCATCTCCTTCTGCCTGTTCTTTAAGCGCTTCTTCTTGTCCTTGTCGCTCTCCCGCTCGACGGGGAGCTCGATCTCGCCGCTGCTCGTCATGCTATCAGACGGCTGCGACGCGTCCGTATTGCGTCGCGCGAACAGGCTTCGTCGCCTCTTGGCCTCCTTGTTGGGGTCCCTCGCGCTGTCTACCGTCGCGCTCTCGTCCACGGCCTTCGTTTCGACCTTCGAAACGTCGTTGCCTGCAAACGTCGGGGGTATAAGAATGTCATGAATATGTATATGCAAATGGTATAGTATGCGCAAATGATGTAGTATAAGGCTGGGTGACGTACTGTCGAGCTTTTTGTAGGAGTCGCTGTTGAGGAATAGTCGAAGGTGCCGTCGACCATGAGGATGAAGATGGCCTTCTGCGCCCGGTCAAAGGAGTGGACGCCTGGGCTCTTGAGGGCCTCGGCCAGCTCCTTCCGGTCCTGGTGCGTGAGGTTGACCTCGTGGGCTGACGTGGGCTGGAGGTACTTCTCCCTGATCTCCGCAACCTTGGAGTTGATCTCCTTTGTCAACGACCCATCGTGGTTCTTTTGCACTGTTGTCGTTGTTGCCAAACACAAGTCCCTGGTCAGCGTGTGTCGTGTGAATGTGGGCATCGTGTGCGCGCATGCTGCGTGTGTGTCGTGTGTGTGTGTTGTATGTACCAAGTTTCTTGAAGCGTTCGACGTCGAGCCAGAACATGAGGTTCTCCACGCAGTGTCTCTTCTCGAGGTAGTGCTTGAAGGCCGAGCGGGCTTTCTTGTCGTGCAGTATGAACTCCAGGAAGTAGGCCCGGCTCATCTGATGCGACAGCTGCAGAAGTCGCGGGGACAGCCCCAGCGCGCTCGACGCTGAGTCCAGCGAGTCCTCTGACGAGGCCGAGATCGTTCGCACGTACAGCGGCGCATTGCCCACTACAACAATGAAAAGAAGAAGACGGACGATGGCAAGTCAGAGGATGAGAAGAGACATAGAAGTGCGATGGACCGGGGGGTTGTCGACATACAGGCGGGCTCGGTGGAGGCTCGGCTGTGACGTACGGAACGCCTTGACGAAGCCATGCCCGCGAGATCGTTTGATCGCCCGCCCAAGAACAGGAGCGGAACGCGGGGGTCGTTCTTGCTCAGGGCCATCAGATGGGCCGCCGTGAGCCGGGTAGCGGCCTCCTCGGCCCGGGAGCCGGCGGCCGACCGCGAGAAGGCGCTGTTGCTGCGGCTACGGCTCCTCTCACCAGAAGGCCCCTGTCCAGGCCTGGTCGGGAGCTGCCTGGACCTGCGGCTCTCGGCCGGCTGGTCGTGGTAGTCGCCGACCGAGGCCGAGCGGGTGCCCCGCCGCTGGAGGCTGGCGATGTTGGCGTGGTAGGGGATGTGCTTGAGGAGGGCCTCCTCGGCCAGCCCGAGCGAGTAGGCCGCGATGAGGTCGCTTCCGTGGGGCTTCTCGTCGCCCGCCGAGTTGGAGCGCGATCGTTGGAGGAAGGTCGACTTGCGTTCGGCGCCCTGGCCCATCATCTGGTGCTGGTTGTGATGGTGTCCCGCCCCAACGGGGGCGAACTTGCCAGTGGACGAGGCGGGCGGGCTCTCTACCGACGAGCTACGACTTCGCGATTGCATGGTGAGGAGGGTGGGGGCGGAGGATATGGATCTCGTTTCCGGTTTTTGGGGTCCCCTCCTGGCCCCTGTGTTGCCAGCAAGAAGCTCTCGATTGACGATGGTTAGCTCGCAAACTGGTCTTCTTCTTCCAGGTGGGTCGTCCTTGGCTTGAATCAGAACGAGAAGATGAAGAAGGCGAAGAACGTGAGATTGAGTATATTGATTTGTTTGATGAGAGAAACACACACACACACAGAGAGGTACCTACAGCTGCTGTGGCCGTTGTGTACGAGTGGCTTGCGGAAGTTGAATGATGCGATCTTGCTCCCCTCGGAGGCAACCATTGTCGCGTTTTGCGCTGCAAGCCCACCTGTCTCCCCTATAATAGGGCCGAATGCTGTGCCTTTTCGAGGTGCGCAACGACCGTTATGTCTGTAATAGGCGTTGCAGTACCACCTTGTAGGGAAGGTGTCGACAATTCTAAAAACACAGGAGAAATGACGGAGGTGTGTAGCAAACGATCTCGGCGTATCACAACACCTGTAGTCTTGAGGTTAGTTAGGGCCAACACGTAAGTCTCTCAGTGACGTCCGCGCTCCATTTCGCACTCATTCTGTGCCTTGGCCGTAATTGACGACCGTCGCATTGCAGCCATGAATAGAGAAAAGGCATAACCAAATTGAAACGCAAATTTTGCGTTTCATTGCTGCACATTCCAGAGAGAAAGAGAATGTGCCGACATTACACCGAAAAGGACAACCGTGGCAACGTTTCGTGGCCGAAAAGCTGAGACCGGGGTCGATTTGATTGAGAAGCGTGTAGGGGCTAGTCACATCCCTCTCTCGTTCTTTGCTCGAGCTCTCAGCCCCGAGCTTCCATCTTCTTCATCTTCTTTTCCAAACGAGGGAGCGTAAGGCAAGGTGCGTAATCTCTCGTGTCGTAGATGTCTCTTTTTTGTCGACGAGGGCCGAGGGATTGATTTGGAGCTTTTGGTTGATTGAAACACGTACCTGCCTGATGTAGGGACAGAGCGTTCAAAGATGGGAAATCAGTCTTCGAGCGAGAGAAGGGGGGCAAAAGGTACGCCTAAGTAGAAATTCCAAACCAGAATCACATGCGCATTTTGACGCTTGCCCCCCCCCAACAAAAAGATCCTGCCCTCATCAGCTTGAATGACATCGAGAAGGGCAAGTTGCTTGGGGCGGGAGCGCTATGCCAAGTACACAAGGCCTATTGGATTGCGCGCGACATGGATGTACGTACCTTGAGGATTAGAACGATTCCTTGCTGCGGAGGTCGGAACTCTGCTTATGCTCCCGCGCGTACCAGGTGGCTCTGAAAACCTTCCACGTGCCCGACCTGATACCAGAGGACATTCACGACTTCCAGCGCGAGGTCATGCTCACCAGGTACGTTCATGCTCGCGTCTTCCTCAACAACCCCTGCCAACACAATAACAACACCACTACAGAGACATGCAGCACCCGAACATCATCCACTTCCTCGGCGGCTGCTCTCAGCCGCCCGATGTCTACTTGATCATGGAGCTTGCCCCGTATGGCACCGTCCACGATCTCATCCAGGCCAAGATGTCGCCCTTCCCATTCTCCCTGCGCATGCGTTGTCTCCTTGACGCGGCCAAGGCCATGGAGTACCTCCACTCCAGGAACGTGATCCACAGAGACTTGAAGCCCGAGAACCTGCTGGTGACGCCTCTCCTCCACCTGTTTACCGGCTGCATTCCCGCATGGCTAACACGCAGCTCCACCTCGTACAGGTCATGTCCGTGGATCCCGACGCAGAGGTGGTCGTCAAGTTGGCTGATTTGGGCGTGGCAAAGCTGAAGGAAAGCAACAAGGAGGCGATGATGACCCAAGGAAGAGGAACGCCACAATACAGTACGTACCCAGCGTTTGTTCGTATCACTCCACCTATAAGGTGCTTGCTTACCGCGAGTCAAACAAACCAGTGGCTCCTGAGATCTTCGAGAAGGACGAGAACTACTCCTTCCCGGTGGACGTCTACAGCTTCGGACTTATCATCTGGGAGGTCACCACCAGAGAGCAGCCTTACATCGACATCAAGCCGCACTTCAAGGTGCGAGAGCCTGCTGCGAGAATGAATGATTCCTTGTACTCCTCTGACAACTCCCTCGTCCTGGAAGATTCCACTGAAGGTGATGGCTGGCGAGCGTCCGTTCATTCCGAGGGACTGCCCCCGAGAATGGTACCAAACGCTGCGTCTTGGCCCGTGCCCAGCTATCTTTCACTCCAGACTCATCGTTTTCTCTCACAAGGGCCGATTTGATGAACGCCTGTTGGCACCCGGACCCTGAGAAGCGCCCACAGTTCAAAGAAATCGTGAAACGAATCGAAAGAGCGCAGAAGGCGCGAATCTTCGATGCTCAAGACCGCGAGGAGGCGACCACGTTTGGAAACAAGGGTATGACATTCTCTCCCCCCTTTTCATATATGTGTCCGGACTTACCTCTCTTCTGTTCGCGCAGTACAAATCGAGCTGAGCGAGCTCGAAGTGGGCCAGCAGATCGGCCACGGCACCTTGTGCAAGTACGTTCCACCAAAAGCAGCGCTTCTGGTACTGAGGCAACCAACAGGTTACCTGACGCCGTACTTTTTCCCAGAGTGCACAAGGCTCTTTGGAAGGCCAAGAACCAGAACGTGGCACTCAAGACGTTCCACTGTCCCGATCTGGTCCCCGAGGAGCTCGCCGACTTTAAGCGCGAACTGTGGCTCACCAGGTAACTGACTACCTCCGCTCCAACGAATACATATTTCTGCCTTGTATGCACAAAGCAGCTGACCACAATGCATTGCCACTCAGCCAACTGGATCACCCCAACATGATCCGTTTCCTCGGTGGTAACGGCGAGCCACCGAATGCTTACCTGGTGACCGAACTGGTGGAGAACGGCAGCTTGTGGGAGCTCTTGCACGACCGCAAGAAGATCATTCCCTGGACGATGAGGATGAGGATTGCCTACGGTATACCATAGCCGCCCTGTCCTGGTGTGAGATCAGCGAGAGTGTTCAATCGACTAACACTCCTGGCTTGCTTGGCTGATTGCAAACGCAGAAATCGCGGACGGCATGGCGTACCTCCACGACAAAAGCGTTCTCCACCGCGATCTCAAGTCGGAGAATATCCTGGCACGCACGCACCACCCAATACCCTCTATCGAAGTCAACAAGCTCACACAGCTAATGTCCTTTTTCTCCTCGCTGCACGCACAACACAACAGATTGCTGGCGATCTGCGAAGACCCGCAGAGCGGGATTCGCCGATGGTCAAGATCGCCGACTTGGGCATGTCGCGGTGGATGCGAGCCAAGGGCAACAAATCCGTACTCACCATGGGCAGAGGAACCTCGCAGTGGAGTACGACGAGTTCCCCCCCTCCCCCAAAACTAGACCGTCACGACCGTCCGTGATTTGCTGACGTACTTGGTCTCCCCGCTCTCAGTGGCGCCTGAGATCCTCGAGGGAAGGAGGGACTATTCGTTCCCCATCGACGTGTACTCTTTCGGTATCATCCTGTGGGAGCTCGCGACCAGGGAGGAGCCCTACGATGAGCTGATGCCCAAGTTCAAGCTGTGCTACTTCATCGTGGAGGACCGCTACCGCCCGCACATCCCAGCGTATGTGCCCACGGCGCTGGCCAGTCTCATCCAGGACTGTTGGCACGCTGGTACGCCCCAGCTCTCTTTTTCAACACACGGCACACGCACAAACTTACACATTTTCACGTTTCGTTCTAGATCCGCAACAGAGGCCGACCTTCGGCAAGGTGATGATGCTGCTGAAGAAGATGGTCGCAGATGCCGACAACCTCTTCGCCCGCATGCCGTCGGACGATGAAGCTGCGACGCACTATCGCAACTGGCTCGATGAGGAAAAGAGGAAGAAGGCCAGCCTTGGCACGTCGTCGGGTTCGTCCTCCTCGATACCGGCAGTCAAGAGCCCCCGAGTCGCGGCGCCGGGCCTCAGCCGAGCGACGGCGCCGACGCCAGTCAACTCGTCGTCGCCCTCGCTGGTCGCGACCAAGGAGAAGGAGAAGCTCAAGCCAACGAAGAAGTCTGGGTCTTCTTCGAGTGGATCGCTGAAGGAGAAGAAGAGCAAAGAGAAGGAGAAGAAGGACAAGAAGAGCAACAAAGAGAAGGAAAAGAAGGAGAAGAAGTCGAGGTCGTCGAGCAAGAAGGACACGTTAACCAAGAAGGACAAGGTCGAGGTCCTCAACTTCTAGAACGTGCGCCGAGCTGCTCCCGCTCCGTCGACTTCTCGAGAGATGGGCCAGCGATCGAAGAGCTCCCCCAATACCAGACCAGAACACATCAACCGACAGCCAACAGCGAAGAAGGTGAGCTTGTTGTATGACTCGCGCTTGAGAGAACAAGTTTTTATTATATTGCCTCAAGGTGTGTCCAGTATTTACAAGAGTGATGACAACATGTTGAAGACTTGGTCACTTCTTCGTGCACAGTCGTTGTTGCATGTGCTGAAAGTATCGACGAAGGCGAATGGAGTAGTAGAGGCGGTGGAAGACCTCGCGCACCAGCCATTGGAGGAAGAAGAGCAAGGCTATGGCACTGCTGGCGGCGAAGATGATGAAGAGGAAGATCGCCTGGGGCTTGGTCGAGAACAGCCTCCACGAGGTGACGATGAGGTACTCGCCATCGCTGCACACGGCCTGTGTGACCCGGATCTCGAAGTTTCTCTGCAGCGACAGATCGACCGATGTCCCTGGCCGTTCATGCGGGCCACCGTTCGTCAGGTCGCAGAACATCATCATCATCGTCACCAATCAACTTGAGTGTCAGGTACCTTCTTCGCAGATCGTGCAGCGGTGGTAGATACAGTGCAACCCGACGCCGCAGTCGTCAACGGCGGAGCCGCCTTGACATTCGCCACCGTAGCGCGGCGCGGCCTTGAGTGCCCGGCACTGGCCGCCCTCGGTGCAATACTCGTTGATGCCGCAGTAGTAGCCCGACGGGTTTCGCACGGCGTCCCTCGCCTGGCACTCAGGTCTCTCGTAGCCCGGTTGTGGGGCCGGGCAATACCGGACACGGACCTTGCCGTCAGAGGCAGCACCCAGGACCCGCCACTGCCCCGTCGTGCCGGGCACGCATTGGCCACACTCCCTTGGCGACGAGGTGGAAGAGAAGAACATCTCGTTCTGTTGAACACGTTCAGTGAGAGTCTTTCCCTTTAATTCAAGGCTAGAGGGGCTCACCAGGGAACAGTTGTGTTTGGTTGGATAGGCAGCCCTTGCATACTCTGCTTGATCTACAGTAACGCCCTGGCAGCCCCAGAGACTCAGCACCATCAGCAACGCCACCACGGGGAGATCATGCTTTGCGCTTCCCTCTCGCATCTCCACCAGCACCTGGTGCCCAGGTCTCGTGGAAACTCTCTGCAGGGAACCAAACTATTCATTCAAAGGGCAGCACAAATTTGGCAAACCAGCTTGAAATTTTCAGCCCTTGCAATTTTGTTTCCGATTTTAGGATTTCGTTTTTTTGTGGCGGTTCTGGCGAGCGAAGGGCGAGGCAGGCGAGATCTTGAGGGGATGAGGGGGTGGCGCCCACCACGTTCTAACCCTAAGGTCATTCGTTCTTGGTCCTCTTTCCTCTCGCAAGGGAGGGAGGAGGACCATGGACACCTCTTACGAACACCCATTATCGATTTAATCGATGAAACACTCGATTGATTCGTTTTGGGTTGGCTCCACACGGGTGCTTTTTGTTCTGCAATCCTTTTCCACCCCAGTCACCAAAAGACAAAGGACAGACCCCGGCGCCCACTCCATTCCGACCCAATTCGGATCTCGCTCTCTCTCGCTACTCGCTCGCCAGATGAAACAGATTAGTCGGCACACCACAGGGTGGGCGAACCGACCGGACATGCGCATGGACGTGGGCTCTACTCTCGCCATCATCACCAGCCACAACCGCTCGCGAGTCGGGTACGGCCGCATTGATGCTGCACGCTCTGTGGCAGATGGAAGACGTGGTGGCACGGTGGTCGTGCGAGGGGCCGGGGTGGCCGCACATGTGTCGTATGCGAGATCGGGCGGGCGGTGACGCGGGGGAGGCGGTGCGGCAGGTGGCAACACCTACGGGCCGTGCCGCTCTCTCTGGAGGGTTCGTCTCTCATCTCAACTCCCTCGCCTCTCCCGTCCAATCGATCTCGCACATCGCGCGCATGGGCGTTCATCTCGCGATTCTCCTCGCCTGGTGCTACATTGTAGCGCCAGCCACGGTGGCCCGCGCTCGACCTCTGGCCTGGGCAGCGCGGCCGGCGCTCGCCGCGGGTTCGGGTGGCGTGGGTCTGGGGTGGCGGAGCTAGGGCTGTTTCGCGTCCAGCGAGGCTGTGACCCCTTCGGGGGGAGAGTCTCGTAGCGTCCGTGTAGCCTCCTCTCGACTATGACACCCCACCACCTTCAACCCCATCAAAAAGCCAAAGACAAACGCACACGCACACGCACACGCAGCAAAACTTACAAACTTGGTGTTCGTTGTGGCTTGGTGAAAGGCCTTTGAAAATGTGCGTGTGGAGTGGCGGTTTGGGGGTTTAGGCAAAGGCGCCATCAAGGATGGCCTTCTGCTGCTGTGCGTGGATGGAGCCCAGACCCACAGCCGGCGCCGCCGAGGCCGGTCGCGAAACCAGCTTGACCTGTCGTGTGTGTTGTTGTTGCGCAAGAAGACCCAGTAAAACTTAGAAGTGCAAGACAAGAGGCCAGGTTGACTGGGGCCGTAGGTGGCGTACGGGAGCGGAGAGGCGGGAGAAGCGCGGGGCGACGTAGTCCCACATGCCCGCGTTCTGGGGCTCCTCCTGCGCCCACCTGTAGGAGTCGGCGTTGCGGTACTTGTCGAGCTCGTCGGCCAGCGCCCGATAGGGGAAGGGCGACAGCTCCTCGACGCGGATAATGGCGACGTCGTCGATCTTCTTGGTCTCGCGGTGCTTGACGAGGTCGTAGTACACCTTGCCGCTGCACATGACCACACGCTTCACCCTGTGTGTCGTGTGTCGTGTGTGTGGTTAGCCATTCGCTGGTTCGAGACGAGAGTGTGGTGATTGTGTGTCAACGTACTGAGCCGGCGAGACGGTGGTGTCGGCGATGACGGGCTGGAACGAGGTGCCGGGCGCCATCTCGGCGAGGTCGGACACGGCCTGCGGGTGGCGCAGGAGCGTCTTGGGACCCACCACGACCATGGGCTTCCGGAAGCTACGCTTCATCTGACGACGCAGAGCGTGGAAGTAGTTGGCCGGGGTGGTCGGGTTGATGACCTGCATGTTGGGCACCAGGTTCGAGATGTCCCCGGGGTTGAGCCTGTCGCCATCGCAAAGCTGTCGGCACACATTGTCAGCTCATGTCGACACACCGCACACACACACACACACACACACACAACACGACACGCACGACACGACACACATGGCACACACCTGAAGGAAGCGCTCGATGCGGCACGAGGAGTGTTCGGGACCGGCGCCGTCGTAGCCGTGGGGCAGGAGGAGGGTGAGGGCCGACTGGCGCCACCACTTGTCCTCGCCGCTGTTGAGGAACTGGTCGATGATGATCTGCGCGCCGTTGTGGAAATCGCCGAACTGGGCCTCCCACAGCACCAGCGTGCTCGGGTCCTCCATGCTGTACCCGTACTCTGCAACCACCAACCCATAGCTTAAGACACGACACACGACACGACACGACACGACACGACACGCACCGCCGCACACGCACGACACACGTACCGAAGCCCATCACGGCCATCTCGGAGAGCGGGCTGTCGGCAACCTAAATGAAGGGGGAAACCAATCAGACGTGCTGAACGTTGTGTCGTGTGTGTGTGTGTGTGTGTGTGTGTGTGTGTGTGTGTGTGTGTGTGTGTGTGTGTGTGTGTGTGTGTGCGTGTCGAGTTGGAGGGGGATCGAAGCGCGTACGTGGAGCTTGCCCTGGTCGGAGGACATGAGGTTGAGCGGGATGACGCGCTCGTTGGTCTTCTGGTCCGTGAGGGCCACGTGTCGGTGGCTGAACGTGCCGCGGCCCACATCCTGGCCGCTCAAGCGCACATTGTACTCTGTTTGATGTGTGTCGTTGTGTCGTTGGTCGTCGGTCAGTAAATGGTGGCACCGGTGTAGCCAGGAATGGGCGAAAGAGAGGCGGGCGACGGTACTCTCGAGCAGGAGGGAGCCGATGGCCAGCGACTCGGCGGTGGCCCAGTCGAGACCGGTCTTGGATTCGAGCTTGGCCTGGCGGGGCTTGCAGAAGAAGTTCTGCAGGCGGCTGTGCACGGTCTGTGTGGGCGCGGGCGGGCCGCGGTCAGTGAAGTGTGCGCGTGTGCGGTCGTGCGTGTGCGGTGGTGCGTGTGGCGTGGTCCTGGAATTGTCGCGTGTGGGGTGTACCTTGCCCTGCGGGTTGATGGAGGCGACGCCGACCTTGACGAGCTCCTCCTCGGCGTAGCCGGTGTCGACGGGCTTGGTCATGTCCTGGGGCGCGGTCATCTTCTGCCACTTGCCGCCCATCGTGTCCACCTGCAGAGCACACATAAAGCTGAGCGCTTCATAATAATACATAAATATATACTAATAAGAACAACATAATAAACAAAAGAAGAATAAAGAATAATGCACTGTGTGCGCCGTACGGTCGGCTGGGCCTTCTGGGACTCAGCGAACTCCTTGTCGAGGACCTGGCGCGCCTGGTCCTTGATCGCCTTGGCCTCCTCCTCGGTGACCACCTGCTCTTTCTGTCAACCGCACACACACCCCGCGGCCAGTCAGGCCACTATCACCACAGGGCGTGTGTGTGTGTGTGTGTGTGTGTGTGTGTGTGTGTGTGTGTGTGTGTGTGTGTGTGTGTGTGTGGCTGAAGCGTACGATGAGCTTCTCGCCGTAGAGCTTGGCGATGGTCGGGCGCACGCGGATGCTGTCGTACATGAGGGGCTGGGTGAAGGAGGGCTCGTCGAGCTCGTTGTGGCCGTGCCTGCGGTAGCCGTGCAGATCGACGATGATGTCCTTGCGGAAGGTGGTCAGGTAGTCCATGGCCAGGCGCGTGGCGATGACGACGGCCTCGGGGTCGTCGGCGTTGACGTGGATGGCCGGCGCGTGGACCGAGCGCAGGACGTCGGTACAGTACCAGCTCGACCGGCCCTTGTGGCATTCCGTGGTGAAGCCAATCTGGTTGTTCACCACGACGTGCATCGAACCGCCTGCCATCGCACGACACGCACGGCACACACGACACACACGGCGTGTCAGCACACGAGAGCGAGACGGTGGTAGAGGACTACGACGTACCGACGGCGTATTCGGGCAGCTGGGAGAGGGTCAGGGTCTCGGGCACGACGCCCTGGGCGCTCATGGCGGCATCACCGTGGACGACGATGCACAGCGCCTGCTTGCGGCCCTTGCCCAGGTCCTGCTTGGCCCGGACCTTGCCCTGCGCCACCGGATTGGCCGCCTCGAGGTGCGAGGGGTTGTGGATCAGGGAGACGTGCAGGTTCTTGCCCTGGTACTCCAGATCGACAGATTGGGCTGAAAGAAGACCAAAAATGTTAATAAATAAAATAATTAATCAAAAATTAATCCAAAAATTAAGTTACTACAGAGCAAATAATTAATTAAATAAATAAAAAAAGCGGAAGAGGAGGATTCGTGCCGATGTGCGAAAGGACGTCGCCGGTGCCAGGACGTACGGCGCCTTCGACGGTGGGGAAGTCGTTGAAGCCGCTCACCTTGGCAAAGATCTTGGACGCCGGGTAGCGCAGGATGCCCGTCAAAAAATTGAGCCGACCCCTGTGCGGCATCGCGATCACAGCCTGGCACACGACACGACACGCACGACAATTAGTTGATAATATAATAAACAATGCATAAATTGATAAACAAGTAATTGAATAGTAATTGGGAATTATTTAACAACTAAAGTAGTACCTCATCGAAGCTGCTCTCCGCGGCCTTGCTGAAAATGGTGTCCATGCAAGCCATCATGGACTCACACCCCTCCAGCCCGTAGCGCTTCACAGCTGCGCGCAGCCCACATGATCACATCGATGAAGTTAGAAGTGCCTCTCTCTCTCTCTCTCTCTCGGCGGGTTCTTCGGTGGCGGCAGTGGTGGTGGGTGATGGTGGTACCTCGGAACTTGGTGTGGAGGAAGTGGTCGAACTCTTCGGAGGTCTGCAGGAGGTTGAGGATGCGCTTCTTGTCCTCGGCAGGCAGGGCGTTCTGGGCGGTGGCGCCGGTGGCGGTGCGGCCCATTGCGGCCTCGAAGCGGCGCGCCAGCCAGGTCTGCTCCTCGGGGTTCTCCACGTGGGTGAACTCCACGCCGACGCTGCTGCAGTAGGTCTTCTTCAGGGCGTCGACGATCTCGCTCACGCTGGCCTTCTCCTTGTCGAGCCCGAAGAACAGGCCCCGGAGCTGCACCTCCTCATTCCCCAGCCCATACCGCGCCGCATCCAGCACACCCTCTGGCGCACTGTCGACACAAAACGACACACAACACGCACACCACCGCACACATATGACTATATAAGTGTCTGGAACAACGGCTTATATATATATACGTCATATATGACGATCGTAATAATTGCATGGCACAACAACATTGGTGAGAGGAGAGTAGTCGGAGTGGTGGTGGTACCCTCGCTGGCGGCGGCCCAGGGGATCGAGGGCGGCGTCGAAGTGGCCGTAGGTGCGGTAGGCGTTGACGAGACGCAGCACGTTGGCGTGCTTGTTCTGGTTGTCGACCTCCTCCTGGGTCAGCTTGCCGCCCTCGACCGCTGTGGTGGTGGTGCTGCTGCTGTAGCGACCGACGAGGCCGAGTGTCTGCGACCGCGCAGCCGGGCAGAACCGGGCGGCAGCGGCGGCGGTGACACCGGTGAAGCGGGAAGAAGACAGGAAGCTGCTTCCCTGCGTGCGTGTGCCTCTTGCTCCAACACGTAGCATCTGACCAAGTAACATATAACAACGAATAACAATGAAATTCAGCATTTGATTTATTTGTAATTTGTAAACAAAAATCAAATGAATAATTATTCAAATCCAAGGAACAAAAGATTATAATAATAACGAAAATAGATCGGTGGCGGGTGTGACATAGATTGGAAGTTGCAAGTCGCCACTTTCATTGCATTTGAATGTGCGAGTGAAAAAGTAGTATTGATAATGTGCCGTAGTATTGCTCTCAACTCGAACAGCGTGGGTGTGCGTACCTTGTATATGAAAAGAGAAACGGCCGAGATCACCCGTGCTTCTACTTAATGGGTGGGTCTTGGGTAAACGATGTGCCCGTCAGCCAAGCGCAGTACTCGGGTGTCGCCGTTGGCTTCTGTCGACCCACGATCCCGATTCGGAAGGATCCGGGTTTCTTCCTTCTTTTCTTTCTTATCTTTTTGGATTGAATATTGAAATATTAAAATCTCAATATTAAATAACGAAAGTGATCACTTCTGGCCCTTGGTGGGCGTGGCCGGCGGGGTCGCCAGCTTGTTGTGTCCCTCCTCGCCGGTGTAGGCGTGGATGCCCAGAAGCTTCTCCCAGTTGTCGTGCTCGCCGGAGGGTTTGTTGGCCTTTCCGGCCTTGGCCTCGTCGTCGTCTTCTTCTTCTTCGATCTCGTCCTCCTCCGGGATATCGTCGTCGTCATCGCCCTCGCTCATCGAGAACAGCTTCTGGGCGCCGTCGCTGTCGCCAAAGGCCCACAGGTTGGAGTGGGTCACGTTCATCAGCACCTGGGCGAGCTTTCGCTCGAGCTGCCGCGTGCGCCTCTCGGCCGCGATTCGCTTCCGCTTCTCGTCGCGCGTGTGCTTCTCGGCCATCTCCCACTTGACCTTGATGTCAATCACCTGGCCACCAACCCATCAACACGCGGAGTTAAAAACATTGGCAATATATGGAAGATACATATAAATATATATATTCATATAGACAAACATATGAACATAAAATAAAATGAGCGTGGCGGATTGGTGGAGGTGCTGACTTACCTTGTTTTGTTCGTCGAAGAGCTGCTTCTGGTGTCGCCGCTCGAGCATGTCGTAATCGGACCTGATCTTGCTGAGCTTCTCGCCGGCGCTGCGCCTGTAGTCGTTGAACTTGCTCTCGAGCTCCTTCTTGTCCTCCAGCAGCCTCTTGCTCTCCTTCTCCTTCCTGCAATCACACGACACACACGACACACACGACACACACGACACACACGACACACACACGACACACACACGACACGACACACACGAGTGTCAATGCGTGTGTCGACAAAATGAAGGTAACGTTAGAGGAGTGGGGAGTGTGCACCTGAGCATGGAGTCCTCGATAACTCGAAATCGGGCCGAGACCAGCTCGAGCTCCTTTTCGGCGGTCGCCAGCCGCTCCAGCAATTCGCGTTCGTGTTCCCGCCGCCGCTCGTCCGTCCATGCCGTTCTCAGCTTCTCCTCCAGCACCCTGATCTTTGCCTCCAGCGCCCTGTGCACACCGCACACACCACGCAACACGCACGACACGCACGACACATGTTCGACAAACAGACGATCAGTCGAGCTGTAATGGAAGGGTTGAAGGGGGAGAGGGGGCGACGTACAGCTTTTCGTTCTGGAGCGCTCTCAGCTTGCAGAAGCGCTTCTCCACCTGCGCCAGGATGTGGGCGTCGTTCAGGCCGTGCTGCTTGCCGGACGCCACAGTGGGCTCGGGCGCGGGCTCGGGCTCGGGCTCGGGCACAATGACCGGCGTCTGGGGCTTCTCTTCCACCACCAGCACCGCCGCCGCCGGCTTGACTGGCTCAGCGCCGAGCTCCGCCCCGTGTTCGGTGTGCCAGCGCCGGAAGTAGCTTACGTAGGTCTATTGAGAGCACACACAGATCGCTCGCTTGGTTGGCGAGGAGTGCTAACCTAAAGGTTAAGGTGATGGAGGATTTAAGGTGGCGGTGGCGCACCATGATCGATTTGTCGTCGGGGTCGGAGTTGAGCAGGTCGTCGGGCTCCAGTAGCGGCGGGATGTCGAGCAGCTCCTTCGCTTTGCGAAACGCGGCTTCCAGGTTCTCCCTCGCCGCGTCCTGCTCGATACCGCGTGAACATGCTGCGTGCGCGCGCGCGCGTGTGCGCGTGCGGTGTGTGTGTGCGTACGGGATCGTGCAGAGGTAGTGCAGCGTCGGGCTTCAGCGCGTTGACGAGTCCGCTGAAACAAAGGCCGTTGGTCCACCTGCAATTATTGAAGTGTGAGTCCACCGCCGGACTTGACACACACGCGACATATACGGCGCACACACGCGACACACACCGAAAGCCACGCGAATCGTACGACTGATTGAAATCCTTGGGGTGCAGTCCCTGCGGGTTGAGCACGCTCTGGCACCAGAGGAGGAGGTTCTTCTTGGCCTCGCCGCCCTTCTCCGCCTCGCCGCCCTTACCGCTCTGGTTGCCTGCGCCCACCGTCCACACGCATGTGCTCAGCGTGTGTCGTGTCGTGTTATATGTGTCGTGCGTGTCGTGTCGTGTCGCGTATCCCGTGATGGTACCTGCTTGGGCGATGTGGTAGCGAGAATGAGGAGCCAGAGAAGGCCGAGCAGCAGCTTGGGGTTGCCATCGCAGATATCTTCGGCTCCGATGTTCACCAGCGGCACGCCCTCCTCCCTCAGCACGCTCAACACCTTGACGGCACCTCGCATGTAAGAATTACCGCACGGCACGGCACACGACACACGACACACGGCCACCACACGCACACACGACACGACAACGCACGCACGCACGCGCACAAACACACACGTGTGCGAACCCTGTCACAGTTGTGAATCTGCTGGAGACGGTTTGAAGGGTTGGAGTTGAGATGCGACACCAGATGCTGAGCGCCAGCCACGGCCTCCAGCACGTGCGCGAGTTTCCTCTGTGAGCAGACGAGATAGAGAGAAAAGTATGTAGTGGTGAGCGATGGGCCACACAAGCGGCGGCGCCGCACTTGCGCAGGTCATGGTAAACGGGAGCAACGGGGGGGCGGGCAGCGTACGCCGTCAGCGAGGTCGGTCTCGAGGTGGCGCGGGTCAATCGGTTGACGCCGCGGGCCTCGAGCCATTGGTTGCACCACCTGCTGAATGTCTGTCCAGAGTACGAACGCGTTCACACACCCACCACACAGAACACAGTAGCGTCGCGTCAGGCGATGTCCACAATAAATTAAATGTTATTTTTGTGTTTTTATAATTATATTATTTATTGTTTATTAAATCAAAATAGCCTCCGGAGCTAAAGAGCTAAAGAGCGAAAAGAAAGAAAGGGAGGGACGAAGCCGCAAAGAGTAAGGACACATAGGAGAAGAGGGGCGGTGCCTTGCGCTGTTGGAGCACCCAGGCTGGTTCGTACGCCGACGCTTTGCCGGTTATCTCGAGCGCTTGTGCGTCCGCCATCTCTGTTTTTGTGTTGAACGTTTGCACAATCGAAGTAGTCTTCTTCTGCTTCTTTGGCAGCTCCTACTTCTACCACCCACCCCACACTTCCTTCTTTCTCGCTTTCGTCTCGTTGCTCTACGCCACGCGAGCCCACCAACCACCACAGAAAGAGCTGTTACAAAAGAAAATGTGTTTCTTTCAACTTTTCCTGTTGCCAGGCGCCAATTTCAGTTGTTGTCTCATCTGCTCTCTCGACACTCGATCAGCGATCACCGCAGCCCAAGACACAACCCACCAAGATGGGAGGAGCCATGACCAAGAAGGCCAAGGACCAGGTACCCTCGTCTGTTAAACGCTCGATATGAGTGTCTGCATTCCTTTCCCTAACCTAACTCCCATTCAGGTGTCCTTGTGCCGTCAGACTGGAGGTACCACTCATCTGATAAGACTTTATTTTTTTCCTCACAGACCACAACTTCACTTGATTATTTAAAAAAATATAAATATATTAATTATTAATATTATTCACACTTCCCTTAATTTGAATACTAATAAAAATGTAAATAATAATACTAATAAAATGTGTCTGCCTGCGCGCTTGGGCGCCTTCCCAGGGACGGAGCTGAACCTGAGCGATTGCGAGATCAGGAAGCTCGGGTCGTTCAAGTCGATCGTGCGGCTGAAGCTGCTCGTGCGGCTCAACCTGTCCCACAACTACCTGCAGGGCATGCCGCCCACCGTCAAGAAGCTGGTCAACCTCGAGGAGCTGGACATCTCCTACAACGAGATCCACGTCCTCCCGTGGGAGCTCTACCAGCTGACCAACCTGCGCGTCCTCATCACCGAGGGCAACGGCATCACCGCCCTCCCGGCCCCGGCCATCTCTCGCCTCGTCAAGCTCGAGGTTCGCTTCCTTCCACCTCTGAGCGTTGGCTCTACTCTAATATCGCGTGTGCGTGTGCGTGTGCGTGTGCGTGTGCGTGTGCGTGTGCGTGTGCGTGTGCGTGTGCGTGTGCGTGTGCGTGTGCGTGTGCGGTGGTGCGTGTGTGTGCGCGTGTGCGTGTGCAGACGTTGAGTGTGGCGGGTAACAGGCTGACGGGCCTGCCGGAGGATTTTACGGGCCTGCACTCGCTGACGTCGCTGTCGCTGGCCAAGAACCACCTGGTCAAGGTGTTCCCGGAGGTGTTCCAGCTCAAGCAGCTCAAGCACCTGAACCTGTCCATCAACCCGGGCCTCGAGGTCCCCGAGCGCTTCGGCGAGCTGCCCAACCTCCAGGTGCTGGAACTGACCGAGTGCGGCATCAAGTCCCTTACATCCGCCATCGGCAACGCCACTTCGCTCACCAACCTTCGTCTCGGTACTCAACGCCCCGAATCGTTCAGCGTTTTCAGTCATTCCTGATGCTAACGTCTGCCATTTCTGTTGACACACACACACACACACACACACACACACACACACACACACACACACACACACACACACACACACACACAACACACACACACGCACATACAACCACAAATATATACAATCATCAGACAAGAACGAGCTGACGAGTCTCCCGGACGAGCTGGCCAATCTGTCCAAGCTGCAGATACTCAACGTGAGCTTCAACCAGCTGACGGTGATCGATAACGTGACGTTCCGCAACTTCACCGCTCTCGAGGAAATCCACGGGTCCAACAATCGGCTCGACCATCTCCCTCGCGGGCTGGGCCAGTGCAAAAAGCTCCGCGTCATCGACCTTTCTCACAATCAGCTCAAATCCATCGTACGTCACAAGACACGACACGACCAACGACGCGACGCGACGCGACGCGACACCAACGACACGACACGACACGCGCGATACACCTACCCCCTTAACGCACCTCTATGCAGAATCGAGAGGTGGGTTGGCTGCACGCAACCATTCGTAAGCTGCTCCTGGGCGACAACAAGATCAAGACCGTGCCCGGCGAACTGTACGTCCCTCTTCTAGCGGCATTGATGGCGGCGACGGTGGTGGTGCTGGTGGCGATGATGGTGGTGCTGGTGGTGGTGATGGTATGGTGATCATAACAACGTCGTTGTCGTCGCCCCTGCAGGTCGTTCCTCAATCCAGCAGTCGACCTCGACCTCGGCAACAACCCGCTCGGGGTACTTGCCTTGTCTTACCTTGTGTACTTGTGCTACGATTCGATTCTCATTTCCTTCTTCTTCGTTTGCTTCTTTGCCTGCGCTGTCTAGTCGCCGTTCGTCCAGTGGTACACGCAAGGAATCATCACCCTCATGGAGAACCTTGCGCCCTACCTTCGCGGTACGGCCTTGGCCTTGCCTCGTGTCGTGTCGTGTGCGGTGGTGTGCGTGTGTCGTGTGTGTGCCGCGCGTGTCGTGTGTGCGAGTGCGGTGGTGTGCGGCTGAGGTTGATCCTGGGCGTGGTGCTGCAGCTTACCCGGCCCACTGCGTGGCGGAGGGCGACGCCCTGGCGGGCACGACGGCGGGAACACCCACCATGTTCTCCATCCGGGCGGCCGACTACCACGGCAACACGCGCCTCAACGGCGGTGACGAGTTCGAGGCGGTCTTCCGCGGCGTCGATAAGGACAACAACCCCATCGAGCAGAAGGCCGTCATCAAGGACAACCAAGATGGTGTGCCCTCTCTTTTTCGCCTCTGCGTTGTTGGTCGTCTCGTTCACTTAATGCGTCGTGTGTCGTGTGTGCCGTGTGTGTTGTGTGCGCGTGCGTCGTGTGGCGTAGGCACGTACACGGTGTTCTTCAACGCGACGGTGGCTGGCAAGTTTGAGCTTCACATCACCGAGTCGGGCGAGTCGATCGGCAACAGCCCGCTGCCCTACGTGATCGAGCCCGGACGCGTCGACGTGAACGAGACCATCATAACGGGCGTACCTCCGAGCAGCGTGCCCGTGGGCAACCCCATCCAGCTCTCCATCACCGCGCGCGACCGCTTCCGCAACGCCACCACGCCCGACCAGCCGTTCCTCGTCACCGTGGCCACGCCTGGCGGTCAGGTCGCCAAGCTCTCCTGCCAAGCCACGTCGCCCAACGTCTTCATGTACGCCTCTCCCCCTGCCTTGCCCGTCAGTGAGTGAGTGAGTGAGTGCTGTCTACCAATTACCATGATTGGGGGAGGAAGAGAGGGAGCTGACCTGAAGCCCGTTGGTGGTCGTTTCAGGTGCGCCTTCACGCCAGCGTCGGCTGGCGATCATCACGTGAGCATCCAGTACCAGGGTGTGCACCTGCCCGACTCGCCGTTCCTCGTCTATGCCGTCTGAAGGGAGAGACGAAATGCGAGACTACGAAAGATTCGCAGCGAGGACGAAGATACCACCAGCTGGCGTGTAGAATAGAGCTTTCAGCGATACTGCCTCACAAATCAATCGTTATTTTACTCTTCGGTGGCGCTGAGCCGGTAGAAAGAGGGCGGAGTATGCCGGTGGCTGACGTCCGTATCGTCATACAGCGCGACTGGATCGAGGCCTGCGTCGAGGAAGTAGGAGCCCGAGGAGGCGGAAGGAAGAGCGGTTCGGTGCGTGTCAAAGTGGAAGACAGAGAGAGGCGGCGAGAGAGGAGCGAGTTGCTTCTTCTGGGCCTTCTCATACGTGAGGCGTGGCTGGGCTCGAGCGGCAGCCGGTTTTGTGTCTGGCCAAGCCTCGTCCTTGAGGTACTCTTCATCCGTACGCTCCGTGCCTTCGTCAAAGAAACGCACTAGGGCGTCGTGGAGAGAACGTGTCAGCTCGCGATTAGGCCAAGGCGTAAAATGCTTGGTGGTACCTTTGTGTAGCGGCTGCGAAACAGCACTAAGGAAGTAGTTGGGCTTCGACTTCGGGGTGGGCACCTTGAAGAGATCGCATTGCTGGGGCGGTTCTGTCGACGACGACGCTGGCTGCGCAGCTTCGGCCAACGCGCCTTGTCGCGGCTTCTTCTTAGGCCGCCCAACTATCGGTGCGGGAAGGATCGACGCAGGAACTGCATCCGGCGCATCATTCGCTGTATCCGGTGCCTCGTTGGTGTCGGTGGGATCGCTGGCAGTCGTGAAGAGGTGGCGTTTCTTCGTCGTAAGGTGGATGCAAGGACCCGAGAGCATGAGGAGGTCAAGCGACATGTGCGGTGGAGCTGCTCTCGCCGACGATGCTTCGTACACAGGGGCCGCTACGTACGTGGAAGGCCGCGGTGGAGTCGTCGTGGAAGGCGGGATTGCTGCTACTCGCAACGCGGAAGACTTGGTAGGTGTTGAACGATGCTGCACCCCCGCCTCCTCCTCGACTCGAAGTACGCCCTCTGCTGTCGCTCCACCTTGCTGCCCCTTCGCTCCGTAACGCGCTTCTTCGCACCGCCCATCCAATGCCTGTTCATCTTACTCTTCCTCCTTCCTCGTCGTGTCGTTGCCTTCTTCGCCTGCTCAACTCCTCCTTCTCCTTCTCCTACGTCGCCTCCCTCTCGCTCTCAAGCTCTACGCCAACACAACAAGAAGGTGACGTCAGCCGAAAACGAAAATAACAACAAAAGAAAAAGGAAGTGTGTTTGCCTGCGCTCGGTTTCGCGCCAAAAAAAAGCGAAACCGGGAAAAAGCATGAGAGCTGCGTAGTACCCGGGACTCGCGAGTCTTTGTGGGCAGCCTAAGGCTGGCCGTCACTCGCCTTTGCGGAAGGGCAGGTTATAGGAGAGGTCGCGCTGGTGCTCGCGCACCTTGCGGGCGGTGATGACGGCCACGCCGACGAGCAAGCCGATGAAGAAGAAGGCGCCGAAGAGGGGCTCGCGAGTGAGCATGAGGTAGATGACGCCGGTGATGCCTCGGCCGCGGGCGTAGGGGATCGCCGACGGGCAGGTGGCGGTAGGGGTCCGGGCTCGTGTGGTGCGCGATGGCCGTGGAGACCAGCCAGGCGTACCACGCCCGCCATTCGGCAAGGTCCGTCGAGGCGCAGGCCTGCTCGGAGGGCTCGGCCCCCAGCCGCAGTGCGTGGCCGCGAGGAAGGTACATGAAGGCATGGCCGGTCATGTCCAGCTCGACCTTAAGCGCCTCAAGCTCCAGACCGCACCTCCCTTCGATCGTGTCATCGAACCTGAACGTTCCGTCGTTGCATTAGGGGTGGTAGACAATCTACGTTTCTCGTGTGGTGTGTGTGGTGCGTGTACCTCGAGCGGGCTTTGGGCAGCACGAGGAATGGACTGTACAACGAACTGGGGACCAGGGTAGAGGCCTTGTCGTTCTCATCGGCGTAGAATCCAAGGTATGAGCCGCCGCGTACCTGTACGGCGGAGGTGTCTGATGAGCACAAACTCACACGGCACCAAGACGACCAGCAAGACCTGAGATACGCGGCCGTAGAGCAGGTGTTGAAGCAGAACCTTCTTGTCGATGGGAATCGTAGCGGTGGCGAGCGGGCGGCTGACCGCGAACGACGGCACGACGTACACCGCATCCTCGTTTGTCCAGTCCAACGACGCAACAAACCTTTCGGCATCGCTGCGCAAGCTGTCTTCAGTGCGGTAGTTGACATCCATTTGTAGGACATAGGTCGAGGTTACGGCGTCTGTCGCGGCCTTGCGGAGGAATCCGCTGGGATATCCACTCGATCGAACCTAGTCATTGTGAAGTTTGTTAACGCACACACACACAGTGAACGTAAACGTGATGCGTGGTACCTTGTCGGGGTAGGTTGCATGCAGTGTGGCCCATTGCTTCAGTGCAGGGTCGTTGTTGTGTGCGCTGACTAGGTCCCCAAGGCTCAGCTGGTTGGGAAGGAGGACGGCCGCGCTAATAGGACCTTGGTGATTCCAGAAGGCGAATTCATATAAGTAACTCCACTGCTTGCGCTGCGTGGGTCGTGGCTGAAATGTGCATACCTTTCCAATAGGAAGCCAGATCACTTAACAGAGAGAGCTGATCGAGACTGAGATGCGTGACCAATGTGACGTCCGACGCTGTGGCGGCATATTCTGCTGTGCACGTAGACGCGCGGAGCTGATACTGCTGGGTAGAGCGCAGTCTTGGCTCCGCTGCGAGCCGCAGGCAGTTCTCTGATACAGTGGCGGGGGCATCTACGGTGGCGAGAATGTCACGTCAGAACCAACTGTAGGCCGTCGAGCATATTTGCGTACCTCGAGATGGGAAGAGGTCGGCCTGTTCGACCCAGAGCTGGACCGTGTCTGAGATGTCGGGCTGGTGAGTAGAGAGCAGGAACACGGTGATCGACTCAACCTCTTCCGTAGCGTCGGTGGTCAGCGCGAAGCAGTGCTGCTGCCAGTCCTCCTTCCACACCATGTAGCGTTGTGCCGCCCATCCTTCCTCGTTGTCTACAGCGCCGTAGATAAGTTGGTCAGTCGGCCAAATGAGTGGCACAAGCGCGAAGTCGAAGGGAGAGGTCACCTTGCCCTGCTGCCTCCAAGAGGCTGTGGCCAGAGCGCTCGGTCTTGCCGCTGATGTCCGCCGAGAAGCTGTCGCTCCTTCCGCTCACATACGCCACGTCGATGGTCACCTTGCCGAGGCCATCAGTTGGTGGTGCCTTTTCAGCGTACATGAAGTCCACCAGGGTCCATGCTGCACTCCAAAGGGGGATAAGCACCACTGCGACGGGGTCCAGAGAGTGCTATGACTCGAACGCACCTGCGAAGGTGTAGTCTCGCACGGCGGGAGGGAGATGAGCGCTGGGCACGAACTGGAAGGCCCCCGCGGGCCAGGTGCTGCTGATGCCGAGCGAAGCAGTGCCGGAGAGCTTTGGATTCGTCGATGGATGAAACCCATTCACGAAGGGCTGCCACCCACGCTGCGCCTCGGAGTCATTCTTCCTCTTCCAAGTCGAATCGAATCCAGGATCCCGCAGCAACTCTCCTTGCACAACGCCCACGCCAGCAAGAATGGTTGCGCAGATCACAATCGAGATCAGCACCAGGAGCTGCACCTTCATCGTGGGTTGCGGCCTGTTTTCTTCTTCACCCTTTTCTCTGGTGTTTTGGCGCGCAACTGCGTTTCGTGGGTTCGAGCCCCACGGTCGGCTATCATCTTTTCCCTTTTTCTCTATCCAGCCTTTTGTTTTAAACGGGTTCGAGCCGGACAAGGCACAAGCGTAGGAGGCGAAATGGAGGCCTGCCACCTCTCCCACTTGTGCGATTTCACGCCATTCGGGCGCTCCATCGTACTGCCCCCAATAGATGTGAACGAATTCAACGAGAACTACGAGCTGACGCCGCTTATCGGCGCACCGGAAGATGGAGAGGAAATTATTGAGCACGAAATCTACATCGCTGGGCATAAGGTGGTATGGAGCTCTGGCGGCCGCCTCTTCAAAACCCTCAATCTCCCATCGTCCGTACGCCAGGCGATTTGGTGCACATTCGCCTCCGAGTCTGCTGGGGATGACAACAGGCACTGCCTGTGCGTGCTCCACATCGACGGCCTCACCATCTACACCAAGGGCGGCTTCATCTACCCCGTCGTGCTGCCCTGCAAAGTGCGCCACATCTGGGCTCTCCCTGCCGGTCTGCTGCTCGAGCGCGACCAGAGTGAGTACGAACTCAGCGACAGCCAGACGCCCTCCCTCTTCAGCCTCCTCCATCCTCTCGAAGACGTGTTCCCCGTCGCCATCCGCTCGGAGCCATCGCAAGACGGCACCGATGCCCAGGGTGGCACTACATCGAGCATGCCCATGCATCTGCCCAAGCATCAGGTGCTCTACTCCTCTTCCTCCTTTCCTCTGCTCGTCATCTACGACTTCACGCGTTGCTGCCACACATTCTGGACGATCGAGGACCTGCGACCCAGTCCCGAGGATGCCCTCCCGCCGGTGCCTACGCCAACCGAGCTCGCTGTGGCGCCGCCGCCCAGCGAAGAGGGCCTCCTGTTCCACCCGCGGCTGGCCATCACTTGCTTCCACACGGCGACTGCCGGACACGAAGACGAGGAGCACTGCCCGCCGTCGTCGTCAATCTTCGAGTGCACCGTGCTGAGCCAAGCGAAGAGTGAGGCCCCACAGGCCCACACCATCCTTGAAGAGCGCTCGCTGTTGTGCCTGATCCGCCGCGATCTGCTAGGGCAGACCGTGGCCGTCGATGCGCTCGCGCTCTCCTTCGACGGCGCGGACCGGAAGCCGTCGCTGGCCTTCGCCTTTTCCCACCCGGCGATGGCCGCCGTGGGTGTGCGGTTGCCATCGCAGTGGCGGGCGTCGGTAGTCGGATCCTCCATCGATGGCCGCTGCTCCTCCTCCTCCTCCTCGGCGACGCATCTTCTCGTGCTTCACCCGAACGACCGGTCCCTGCGTCTGTACGCAGGCGCGCACTTCCTCGCTACCTGTTCGTTGCGCGTACCGCCAGGTATGTATATCTGTTGATGTCTATCTATTTATCTGTCACCTTCACTGGACTGTACATGACACTGTGAACTCACCCACCGGTCTCTGCCACGCATTTGTTAGCTCCCGCTGACAAGGCGACGCTGTACGATGACGAAGACAGCCTCCTGTTCTCCCCGGTGAAGCCCGTCGGGGTACGTGCCCACTCTGCCTCATGACTGTGGTAGACCATCACGTTATGCGCGAAGCTCATCCTTTGGATAAACGTGGTGCCTGCGCTTCGATAGAACGAAGGCGCGACGCAAACGATCGTGGACCTCAGAGACGCAGTGGGCAATCGTGTCAACGCTCTCCTTTCGAGCGGACGCACGGTGCGAATCAGCGTAGATACCAACACCTCCTCGCCGCTCGTGCAAGATTGCCTTGACTCCCTCCGGTGCGTCCTACCGCTGGAGCTCACCTATGACATTCTTTCCCGTCTCCTTCAAGGTTCGTACCCGAATGAGTTGTGCTCGTACCACCACCAACAACATTAATTCTGAGTCTTCTTCAGCAGAACAACCCACCACCACCGACCAGCCGCACCACGAACCCGAATGGCACTCCTTCGCGCAGATGCTCCTCGCTCTGTTCAGTGTCGCATATCCCGTGACCAACAAGTCGGTCGCCAAGCCGCCACCGCAACAGCAGAAGCTGAAGCTGGCCACAGGCACTCATTTCTTCTCCTTTTTGCAATAATTGTAATTGTTAGCGACCGCCTTTTAATTTTGTTTTCGCTGTGCAGGGAGGAGACCAGGCCAAGAGGACGACGAGCACTGGCGTTTCCTGATCAGCACTGAGTACCACCACTCACATCACAACAACTACGTCTTCCACTCCTTCGCCGACCCCCCTCGACACGTCGGCCCAACGGACGCCACCGCACCAGCGCTGGATTCCAAGGGCGAGACGGGACTCCGAGAGAAGTGGAAGGACCGCAACACGACCAGGCAGTGCTTTCTCGCACTTCACCTCGTCTACGAGAACTACAAGCTGAGCGCTCTGCGGCATTCCGACCTACTCCTCCTCGCCGGTCTCAACTACCAGTTGGCCCTGCGTATGGGGTGGACCATGCACGTCGACTACTATCTCCGCGACTTCCCTCACCTCTTCGCCAAGGACTTGGGTACGTAGGCAATCAGTTTCCTCGTCTCGATTTTGACGCCTCTCCGCTAATTTAGTTTTGTCGCGCGTGATTAGTGACTTCTGAGGAGGCGAGCGACGAGCCTGAGGTGAGCTCGATCAACTCGTGGCTGCACGCGCGCCTGGGCTCACTGGCCAGTGCCAGCCCCGCCTTTCCGACGCTGCCCCACGGTAACGCACTACTCCGCTCCATTTTCTTAGCACCGACTCCGGGTGCGTTACTCAAAGCTGCGGCGCATTGGTCACAGGCGTGTGCGACAATACGCGCAAGATTTGTCGTCTGTACGACATCCTGCTCGGTGGCGACGGCAAGGCGTTCGAATCGGCGAAGGCCGCGCAGCAGCAGTCGCGCGCACCGACCCCCGGTCGGCGAAACGCGCCGGAAGAAGCGACTGTGTTCGCCATTGTGGAGGAGGGCCTCACCCAGAAGGACATCGAGGTCCTGCCTTTTGGCGTTGCGCTCCCGCTGCAGGAAGCGATCGCCAAGTGCCGAGTCAACCCGCCGAGCGACTGGCCCGTGTCAGCCTACACGCTGATCGGCCGTGATGACATCGCCGTGCAGTTCAGCGCCAACACCGACGTGAGCCACTATCTGCACCGGGTACGGGCCACCCAGCTGTCGACAACATTTATGCTCAATGATCGCCGCTCACCTTCTCACCTTCTGTTGTTTAGAACCCGGCCGCCAAGGAAGAGTCCGACGAGCAGAAGGCTGTCAAGCACCAAAGCGACGACGACGACGAAGTGCTGGCCAACGAGGTGGCCTGCCTTCGGTTCGGCCGGGACCAACGGCTCAGAGCCGTGCTCGACATGCTCCTCTCCTCCAAGCCCATCGTCATCGCGCCCGTGGAGCAGACCGGTGTGACCGATCACGAAGCGCAGGTATACACCACAGGGAGGGGTTCGTCATCGGATTTGTCCAACACGTGACATCGTGTTGTCATCGTGCAGGCCGAACAGCAGGCAAAGCTGGGGCGGCTGGCCCAACGCACCGCTGCCCTGTCCGTGGGCCGGGGCATGTTCACGCTGAACAGCAAGTGGCCGCTTCTCACCGAGCCCATCAGTATTCCGCCCCTTGTCATGGACGGCAAGGTACAGCGCAACAGCTTTCTTGCCCTCTCGTGGCCTTTTTTGCTCCACACGCCCTCACCGGCCTCGCGATCACTCGTCACACCAGGAGAGGGGAAGCCCCGGTACGATCGCGCTCGACCGTGCCACGCTCGCGCCCGACCTCTTCGAGTGGGCGCAGTTCCACAACGGCGTGGCCACCGGCCTCCGGCTGATTGCCGCCGAGTCCCAGGAATCGGGAAGCGGAGGCGAGGCCATCACCAGCACCTGGATCGCATACAACCGACCAAACGAGCTCAGCAACGAGCACGCCGGCTTCTTGATGGCGCTGGGCCTACAGGTGCTTCTTCTCCTCCTCCGTATGCGATCGTTGGAGTGGCGTTGATTGTTCAATTGTTGTGTTGGCGCGCGGTTGCAGGGTCACTTGTCTGGGCTTGGCATGACCAAGGTGTTCGAGTACCTGTCCAAAAGCCACGAGATGACTTCGATGGGGCTGCTGCTGGGCATGGCGGCCACCCGGAGAGGCACCATGGACGCGGGCGTGGCCAAACTGCTGTCCATTCACTTGCCGGCTCTGCTACCGCCCTCGTCGACGGACTTGGATGTGGGGCCATGGGTCCAGATCGCCTCGCTCATCGGCGTGGGTCTGCTCTACCAAGGCACCGCCGATCGGCACATGGTCGAAGTTCTTCTCAAGGAGATCGGCAAGGTACCATTTCACCGAAGCTACACCGTACTCCCGAGGGGCCTCGTTCAGTGAAACAAACAAACACTGTTCTGACCGTACTCGTGTGTCCTCTCATCAGCCGCCTGGAGATGACCGCCGAATGGACAGGGAGGCGTACTCGCTCACAGCCGGCCTAGCGCTCGGACTTGTCGCTCTTGCCCGTGGATCGTCCGCGCCTGGACTTGCCGACCTGCACATCGAAGACCGATTGCATAGGTGCGCACACTTCATCACCACCGCCTAGTCGTCATTGCTCCAGCTTGCCTTACCACAACACACACACACACCAGGTACATCTACGGAGGTCGAGAAGAACAGCACGGAGCCTACATCGGTTACGGCGGGGCGGAGATGCGCGCCAGCAAGGTCAAGTCGAGTCTGGTCCTGGAACCCGGACCCGGAAACGTGGATATCACCTCCCCGGGCGCCACGCTGGCCCTCGGGCTCATGTGGCTCAAGACCAACAGCGCGGAGGAGGCCGCGCGGATACAGATCCCCGACACCCGGTTCCTGCTCATGTCCGTCCGTCCGGACCTGCTGCTCGTCCGCGTGCTGAGCAAGAACCTCATTCTGTGGGACGCGATCGAGCCCAGCGAGGAGTGGCTCATGTGCCAGCTGCCCGCCATTCTGCACCACCTTCCAAGGTACTGCCTGAACTACATCACCGTCGCTTCGCTTTCAACTGTTTCCGTCGACATGGCGCATACTAATCGTGCCAGTGCTAGGGAGAGCCATAGCAGGTCGCGAGGCGGTGAGGCGGATGCCATGCGACAGGCCCAGGCGTGCATGGTGGCCGGCGCGTGCATGGTGCTCGGGCTGCGATTCGCCGGTACTGCGAACCAGAAGGCCCGCACCGTGCTGACGAACCGGCTGCTGTACTTCATCAAGCGGGCAAAGACCCTCGTGGGACCGGTACGGCTTGAGCCTGCCTGCGGCGGCGAGCCCTTCGCCACCACTGACGACACGACACGACACGACACGACACGACACGACACGACACGACACGACACGACACACGGCGCTACCGCAGGAGAAGCAAGATCGCCAGATTATCGGTGTGTGCATCAACGTGGCCTCGCTGGCGCTGGCCGTTGTGATGGCGGGCACCGGAGACCTGGACACCCTGCGGATACTCAGGCGTTTGCACAGGCGAATTTCGCCCCAGGTACGCACGACTTACTCGTCGAGTGACCTAGAAGTGCACGTAATGATGGCGCTTAAACAACACGCACGCATACCACCGCACACGCCCCGCTAGATTTCCTACGGCGACCATATGGCTACGCACATGGCGATCGGTTTCCTCTTCCTCGGCGCCGGCCGCTACACCTTGTCCACGTCGAACGAGGCCATCGGCGCCCTCGTCTGCGCGCTCTACCCACATTTCCCCCTCACACCCGTCGACAATCGCTACCACATGCAGGTACCGCACCACCTCCTCGCCCCGGGTCCACGACCCGTTTGGCGGGCGTGTTGCTAACGAGTTTGTGGCCATCGACCGACCACCAT